CCACCCCCACTGCTGGGCCCTCGGCCTTGCTCAGACTCCCCCTGTAATCACAGCTTCCTGTTTGGCGCTGAGGCTGGGCCTGGCCGGTGGGGGAGGGGAGCGGCCGCCCCTCTGGCCAGGGCGGCTCTGGGGAGGGGGCCGGAAGTGGAGTGAAGTGAAGGCTACCCCGCCAGCCTCCTGGCATCCTGGGAGGCTGGGAGCCAAGGCCAGTGGGGGTGGGGGCGCAGCCAACAAATATGTCCTGGGAGCCGGCCTGATGTCCCCAGGATGGGATGTTACAGGGGACAGAGGCCTGGAGGGGCCAGCGAGACGAGCCAGGTGGTCCGGGACCAGCCCAGCCCCCGCTCCTGCTGGGGTGGGAGTTGGGGGCATGGTGGGAACGAGGGGCTGGATCCTGGGCAGCTGCTGGCTCCGGCCACCCTCCCTGCCCCCACAGACACAAAATCACAGGGCTCCAGGCGGCTGGGCCAGAGCCCGGAGCCACAGCGCCCTGTCCCGCCCAGGCGTGGTGGTGGCAGCGTCTTGGTGCTCAGACCCTCAGACCACAGCCCCGCCCCGTACGCCCCCCTGGCGCCTCTCGGCCCGGCCCAGGCCCACGGGGACACGCCAGCCTCGCTGTTCCCCAACCCACCCACACAGGAAAGGACAGGACACAGCCCTGGCCTGGGTTCCAGCGCTCACAGCCCTGGCTTCCTTCCTTCCTTCATTCATTTATCCCCTCATTCATTCACTCACACCCACTGGAACCCAATTCTGGGCCAGGCCGGGCGCAAAGGGGCCCCTGGGGGTTCCGTGAGAAACCAGGCAGCCACAGAGCCTGCCCCAGGGTGCTCACAGGCTACGGAGAAAGCACCCTGACACCACGCCTGGCTGCTGGGTGACCCCCACCGAGTCACCCTCCCTCTCTGGTCCCCAGTCACTGTTAGGCCGGAGAGAATCTTAGATGCCATGAGGCCAAGACTCAGGGCTGGGGCAGCAGGGACATGGGTCAGGCTCCATGCAACTTTCCAAGGGTCAGAGGAGGTTAGAGGCAGGCCGACACCTCTGCAGAGAGCCAGCCCCAGCACTGCAGGGACCCTGTGCACGCCGGGGAGGGGGGGATGCGGGGGCGGGGGGACCAGCGGCTTTCTACACCCCACTCATCCTGAGCTTCCACACATTTCCCCTTTCCCGTGCCCTGACCACATGACCCAGACACGCGGCCCCGCGTGAGCGCGCGCGCTCACACACAAAGAGCACACGAGCCCCTGTGAGCACACACACGCGCACACACACACACACACACACACACAATCTCCTGACGGTTTATAAAGCTCTCTCCCCCTTCCCCGCCCCATCCATTCCCGGTGGCCCCCAAAGTGGCCCCTTGTACAGATGACAGTGCCTTGCAAGGAGGCGGCAGGTACAGGAAGGGCCCTGGGTGAGCCCCGTCCCCATCTGCATCGCTGTCCCCCAAGGCTACGGAAGAAGTAAATGAGAGAAGACACGGGACTCGCCTGGCAAGAGCGGGCACTTATTAAACAGCAGCTAACACGGCTTAATGTTGGCAGCAGGGAGGCCCAGAGAGGTAAAGTAACTTGCCCAAGATCGCACAGCAGGAGGGAGTGGAATGAGGACTGCAGCACAGTTCTAATTAGCCTGCCAGGCCCTGGCTCAATCCAGCTCTGTCAGTTTCTGGCTGTGTGACATTCAGCAGCTTACTTAACCTCTCTGTGCCTCAGTTTCCTCATTTATAAAATTGGGGTTCTAATAATCCCTACCTCAAAAGATCATCATAAGGATTAAATAAGCCAATACATACAAAGTGCTTGGTGGGCCAGGCTGTCAGTGGGCATTAGCTGCTGTCTCTACCGCTAAACCCTCAGAGGTGTGGAGCCTGCCCGCCTGCCCGCCAAACTGTGCCCTCAGCCCCTGCTGGATGGGGGGGGATGGGGGGGCAGGGGGGATGGGCCCTCGGAGGACTTTATGGCATTTCACCCCAGCTGGCTCGCCCGCTCCAGCCCTCAGGAGCCCTACCGCAGCCCCAGTTAGGTGACCCGTCCTCTCCCCGAGCCACTCTAAGGGAGCGTCCCAGCGCCAATGGCTGCTGGGGACAGCTCTGTCTTGACCTCCTTCTCCCCCTTAGCATGACCCCCTCCGCCACCCCGCTGCTGCCCGGCTTTTCCAGAGCCCAGCACAGTGCTGCCCCACACCACTGGCCTCCCAGGGGCCCCAGACCCCAATCCATGGGGGGGAGACCCATTTGTTTTCAAAAGGCCAAACTGCTTTTCTCTCCAGCAGAGCTGTCTCATACCAACCCCCAGCACGAGGGGACAAGAAGAAACACGCTGAATTCACAGCTGGAGGCATTGTGCTGCTCCCCAGACAGCGGGTTCAAATCCCAACTCTGTCATTAGTGTTTTGTCACACACTCCCAATAACGGGCTTATAAGCCAAGTTTTTGTCCCCAGCTGACAGGTAAAAGAGCTGAGGGTCAAGGCAGGCTACAGCTTGCTCAGTGTCATGTGGGGACCATGTCCCTGGCTTAGCTCAAACCCTCCTCCTCCAGGAAGCCCTCCCTGACCCCCTCCAGGCTCCCTCCTGCAGAGGCCCCATCTCCCCAGCGCCCACTGCAGGACAGGCTGCGCACAGCCTGCGGGAGCGCAGTTCCTCGTCTCCGCACCCCTGCGAGGCTCACACTGTTACTGCCCCCATTTTACAAAGACAACCTTGAGACAGAGAGAGAAATCCCTAACCCGAAACCACACAGCTTGCGCCTGTCCCCAGAGCCCTGCTGCCTTGGGTGGTAACAGGCAGAGACCCCTGCAGTGTCCCCGTGTGTTCCCCAACTGCTGGAAGGGGGGGGCTCACCTTAGAGCCTGGCCCGGCACAGCCGGGGGACCCTAGCTTTTCATTTTTATAGTGAGGACAGTCTCACTCCCGCGACCCAAGGCTTGGGTAGCCTGGAGGGGAGAAGCGCGGGGACCCCATGATTTAAATGGGGGGTGGGGGAGCAGGAACCACCAGGCCTGGGGGTGAGGCTTCAAAAGAATTCCCTAATTGACCCCCGCCCCCGCCACACACACACACAGCCTCCCACCCTTCCACTCCGCACCCCTACCACCTTCCCAACCACAGAATGGCAACTCTGTAACAGAACAAGAAGTCAATGTTTGCTGAGCACCTAGCATGTGCCAGGCCATGTCCAAAAAGCTTTCCAAATAAACCCCTTTCATTCTCCTATTCTCCCCATTTTTATAGCAATGGAAACTAAGACACAGAGAGGTTAAGTAATTTTCACAAGGTCACACAGCCACAAAGTAGTGAACTCCCGTCACTGGGCATATTCACACGAGACTAAGTGGCACCTAAGATCCCTTCTAGCCCTGGACTTTTAAAAGAACATGTTTCAAAAGCTAAAATTTCCAGATTCTCCACATTCAAACCCTTTCTGGGTTTTAAGTACAGCAGCTGAGATGGCCCTGAAGGCAGATGGCCCTCCGAGTCCTGGTCACTTGCTCTGTCAGGAGAGGGAACCCCCAAAGGAGATGCCAGGGGACACACACCCCGACTCACCACCTGCAGCATGAATGAGACCTGCTGTCCCCGCCCTGAAAGCTGCACACACGCACCACTCCCTCGACGGCTGGCGGGCGGACCAGGGTCCCCTTGCCCCTGCGTCCCTGAGCAGCCACTGCCTACCTGCCAAGGCCGCTCCCGGAGCCTCCCTGGCTGGGACTCTTCTGGTCTAAGCTCAGTCCGTCCTGCTGCAGCCAGAGCCCTCTTGCTCTGGGGTGGCACCCTGGCAACCATGCACCAGCCATCGACCCTTTTCCTCCCAGGCCAGATGAGGACAAGAGGGGCGAGGCCCCACCTCAACTGCCTGCCCCCCAGGAAAGGCGTGAGGCCCCCAGAGGGACATCCGCCGCTAGCACCTCGCTGGAGCCGCAGCCCCTTCTCTCCCCACAGCCAAGCCCACCATCTCGGCTCCAGGCGCAGCCCCTGGGGGTCTGCCGGATCTGCCACCCAACAGTGGGTCCGAGCCAGGCCCTCAGATTCAGGGCACCCTGCTTGCAGAGGGCCTACTGTGCACCAGGTCCTTCAATGCGCTCACCTAATTCCCTCCTTCCTCGGGGTGTGAATTATCGCCCTTGTTTTACGGATGAGGAACAGTCATTCAGCAAAGGAAGTGATGTCCCAGCGTCACACAGCTCTGGACTCCCACCTGGCCCCCAAGTCTAAAGCATTTTGTCCTGAGCCCCTTTTCATTCATTTCTACTCCAAACATGTAACTGAGTCCCTCTGTGTACGGACGGGCCCACCTGTCATCTCATTTAATCTGCATCCTCTGAGGAGGGTATTATTAGCCCCATTTCGCAGAGGGGAAACTGAGGCTCAGAAAAATGAGATGACTTGCCCAAACTACACCATCAATCAGTGGCAGCAGGATTTGAACCCAAGGCTGTGTGATTTCTGAGTCTTTGATTTTAAGGATGGTCTTTCAGAAATGTAGCTGAGAAAGTGACCCTAGCTGCTAGGACAGGCTGGGTCCCCACCGCTCCCAGGGATCTCTTGTCCTCACCCCACTAGGGGAGGACTCAGGATGGGACTCCCAGGCCACCAGGTGCCTCACACAGGTGGGCACTCATCGCTCCCCTCCCCCGGCTGACAGCACCCAGATAGGGAAGGCTGAGCAGGGGCCTAGCAGTCCAAGAGGCAACCTGGGGGCCCTGCCCACCGAGTGTGGCCCACAGCGGGAAGGGCCCTGCAGGACAGGCTGGGTCCCTTTCAGTCTGGGGAAGGTGGGGCAGCACAGCCCCTGGAACCAGCCAAGGAGGCTGGACTTAGACGTCCCCAGGATCTGCACCTGTGCCCGAGAAACTCCCTTGGGACCCCGGTCCCTCAAAGGGGAGGTGGTCCTTCCTCCCTCTCCCTCCTGCTCTCCCCTGGAGCTGGGACCAAGCATGGCTGCGGCGGTCACTCAAAGGGACACTCAGGGGTCACTTCCTACATACACTCACCTCTACCTGCGCACACTGGGACCCCCAGGGTCCATGCCCCACGTCCGGGTCACGCAGGCACCTGCATGCACACGCTCGAGCGTGCACTCACACGCGCCCATGGTCCGGCACACGCCCACCTGAGGTCTTCCCCTACTCGCCCTCAGCCCTGCAGGCGGCAGCCATGGCCAACAGTGGCCCAGCGGGCACTGGCACACAACGCGCACAATGGGTCCCCTCACACGACCCCACACACGGAGGCACGGTGCCCCCCCCCTCGTGGCGCTCCCATCCTTCACCCGCACACACCCACAGGACCCTGGGCCCCTCGCTGAGGTGGCTGCACACACCGGCACCGAACAGGGTCACCCTCACTCGCCCCCTCAGGTCACCTTCACCAAGTCGCCCTCCACCTCCCCCTCGCAGGCCCCCACTGTCCTGGCAGGCGGAGTCGCCGGCAGCGACCCAGGGAGGAACCAAATGCACCCCCTCCCCCAGCGGGGGGATCGACCGGATTCCCTAAAAGTGGCGGCGATCTGGGCACACCCACGAGGCAGGAGCCGCGCTCACTCCAGCCCAAGACACACCCAGCGCGGCCCGCGCCCCGGCCCGCCGCCAGGCCTTCCCGGCTTCCCAGGCCGGGGCAGGGGTCCCGCTCGGCCCGCGGCAGGCGGGCCAGGGAGCCACTGGGCGGTGGGGGGCACAGAGCTGACGACCCGCGCTCCAGGTGCCGCCCGGCTTCCCTGGGGAGGGGTCCCGGAGGAAGGAGAAGTGAGCCCCCAAAAGATGACCGGTGGCGGGGGTGGCCTCCCCCCACGATGCCGGCAGCGCAGCGCCCGCGGGGGCCGGGAGCGGAGGAGGGGCGCCCGGGGGAGGGGTGCGGGTGGCCGTGGGGGAGGGGCAGGGAGGCAGCCGGGGGACGCCGCGGGGGTCCCGGGCGGGGGTCCCGGGCGGGGCGGGGCCCGCGCGGGGGCGGCCCCGGAGGCCGGGGAAGGGCGGGCGCGCGTCACTCACCCCGCGGCGCGCCCGCCGCAGCAGCAGCAGCAGGCGGCAGAGCAGCCGCGGCCCGGGCCGGCCGCGGCCCGGTCCCGCGCCTGCCCGCTGGCGGCCCTGCGCGGTGCGGCGGCCCGGGCTTCATGGCGGCGGCGCGGCGGGCGCCTTTGTTCCCGAGGCGGCGGCGGGCGGCTGCTCGGCGGCGGCGCGGCCGGCGGCTGCACCGACGCGCTCGGCTCGCGGGCTCCGGCTCGGCCCCGGCTCCGCCTCGCAGCTCCGCGCCCACAGCGCGCGGCCGCAGGAAGCGTGCGCCACCGCCGCGCCGGGCCGCCAGCGCGGGCGGAGCGGGAGAGGGGCAGGGCGGGCGGCCGGAGCGCGCCCCGCGGCCGCCGCACGCGAGGCCGGTCCGCCCCCGCCGGCCGGGAGCCCGCCGCCCAGCCCCGGGCGCACCCCAGCCCTGGCGCGGCCGCCCAGGTTCGGAGCCGCGCGGCCGTGCGACCCGGGACGGGTGGCCTGCCTCGCCAGCCTCGGTCTGGAGAACCGGAGCCCGCGGAACGCCCCTGTCGCTGTCGTGGGGGTTGCCAGGGAAGGGCCCTGCGTGGGATGCCAGGGCACCGGCCTGGCTCGTTTTAGGCTCCGAGTGGATGGCGGCACGTGCGCTGTCATCAGCAGCACCCCGTGCGGCTCCACTCGCAGGTCTCTTCCCGGACGCCCTTCCTCACCCGACACCCACCCACACGGTCTGCAGAGTGGGCCAGAGGCCGTCCAAGACCGCGGGCTTCGATGTCTCCAGGACACCGATGGGCTGGGTGACCTCAGACCAGGCCTGGTCCTCTCGGGGCCTCAGTCTCCCCACTGCACCGTGTGGCTGTTGACTTCCGGGCCCTGTCACTGTGGGTCTGCAGAGGAAAAGACATGCAGACCTGGGGGCGCACCTGCTTCTCCACCAGCTGTGTGGCCTCCAGCAAGCCCGCCAGTTTCCTGAGACTCAGATACCGCCGGGTAGAACGCGGCCACCCCTCAGTGCAGGGGGGTGTGCAAAGTCCGCTCCGGTAGCAACACCGTGCGCTGGGGGTCCTTCCCCCGTGTGGTCTTGCGCCTTTCCCCAGCTGGCGGACCCCACGCTGCCTGCTGATCCAAGTCTCCCCCGGCTGTGAGCTCCAGGCAGCGGGGGAGCTTGGGCCTGCCTTCGTCACTGCCATGTCCCCAACCCCAGCACAGGGCCTGGCACACAGTGGGTGCCCAGCACGAAATTGTTGAATCAATGAATTTTGCTTGTCATTTACCTGGGATCGCTCCCTCCCACACATATAGGGGGACACGGTGGTGTAAACATTCATTAAACCCTGACCACGTGCCAGATGCCAAGCACTTTCCACGGGTGGTCTCATTGTCTCGGGAACTTCTGAGATCCTTGCTGCCAATATCGCCACTCCTCAGATGGAGAAACTGAGCGCCAGAGAGAAGAGGTTAATGCCAGGGGGCTGTGTGCCTTGGCCCTCAGCCACTGTCCTTTCTAGCCCCTGCGTCCCAGCACCCAGCTCAGGGCCTGCCACGAAGACATAGTAATAGGAATTGAATTGAGTTGAAGCTGGAACCGTTCCCCCAAGAAAGGGGAACCAGGATGAATGGAGCAGGTAGGAGAGGGGTAGGGTAGGTTGGCCTGGAGGAAGGGACTCTGGGCACCAGCCGTAGGTTTTGGGTAACAAAGGTCAACTCAACATAGGGTGGAGTGAATTAGAACTTCCCTGAGGGGGAGTGAGCGTCCAGTCCCTAAAGAACAAGCAAGGCCAGGCTAGCTGCCCTTTGGAAGAGATTCTGGAGGAGAGAAGGATGCTTTCCAAATCTGAGGTTCAACAACTCTGAAGTCCCAGCCTCTGAAAATCCCGTTCCCAAATCTATTGGCATTCTGGCCCCTGGGCACGTTGGGCAGATGGGCAGGGAGAGGCTGGTGGGTCTCAGCAGATGGGGGCTGGCGTGAGCTGCGCTGGCACAGCTCGGAGTGGGAGAGCTCTGGCTCTGCGTTGGGCAAGAATCCGGGTCCAAACCCCAGTTCTGCCAGTTAGGAGCTGTGCTATGTTGGATGTGTGACCTAACCTCTCTGAGCCAGTTCCCCAACTGTACTACAGAGAAAATGATCACGCAGGGTTCATTCATTCATTCAGCAAGGGTAAACTGAGTGCCTACCGTGTGGTGTGGATGACATGAGCTTGTCCCTGCCATTGTAATGGGGGATCAACAAAGGTGACTGGGATGGAGCTTATGGAGGAAGGCGCCATATGTAAGGAAAACATGATCTTCCAAAGGGGCTGAGCAGGCCCAGGAAACAGACTGGCTCCCAGGAGGCCCCAACGGCCGACAGGGCTAGGGGTGGTTGTTCCAAGGAGCCAGACGTCAGCTTGCGTAAGGAAGGACTTTCTACAGGTGGAGCCGGCCAGCGAGTACCCTGCCTTAGGAGGCATGCACAGCTCCCAGGACACGTAGCAGCGAGACCATTAGGAGGGTTCCCATGCACAAGGTGGGCAGCGAGCACAGCCCGTATTCGGAGGCTCCCACCAGCTCTGAGACTTCTGGAAGCAGCAGCCCCCTCTTCCCTGCCACCCTGGGGAGAAGGTGGCGGGCGGGGCAGCGGGAGCCTGTGATCTGGACAGGCTGGGAGCGCCACCTGCTGTTCCTCAAAGATAATGGCTGCAGCTAGTACTGGGACGGGTCCGCACCCCGGGGGCCCATCCTGCTCCCCGCCCCCTGCCCAGGGCCTCCCCAAGGCTCCCAGATGTGCGCGTTCACCTCCCCTCGAGCACACCCCCATTCGCAGTCACCCTCCCCCGGGCCTCCCTGTGCATCCGAGCCACACCACAGCACACTCAGCCCTCCCAAACACCAGTGCCTTCTGCGCTCGAGGCCTCCCCTCCCGACCCCCATCTCCCCTCCCCACCCCAGCCTCCTCCCAGCACCACTTCCTGTCTTGCCCAAGCATCGGGACAGAGCCAAGAGCTCAGGTTTGCTTCCCAGAAAGTCTGAGTGACAGCATTCCTGGATGTCAGTGACCCCACAGCTCAGGAACCAAAAGAGGATTCTGGCAAAAGGGCTCCAGACCAGGAGGACCCAAAAGGCTGCTGCGAGGACCCACAGGGCCTGTGGGGGCCCGGGGGCAGGCCTGGTCTCCCTCCAGGGGGAGTCCTGGCACCCAAGGGATCCGACCTGTGTGAGGGTCTCTCGGGGCCAAGCCCCGGCCCGAGTACTGAGCAAGGCAGGTGAGCTTTGCCGGACTGCCCTGTGTGCTGGGCAAGCCCTTCCGAGATGAGGGGTGGTGACATCGCAGGGCACGCAGCTGTCACGCATCCGAGGATCCGAACCCAGACCCCTCCTAGGACTGTTAGCTGGGGGGGGGGTTGCAAACTGTGGAGCCCACAGAGTTCCCCAGAGGTGGCTGAGGACTGGTGTGGGTGGCAGGGGGGTAATCAGGTTTCCTTTGAGCTCAGGAGCAAGGCTGGGCTGGCCTTGCAGGAAGGGCGAGGCTGAGCAGCCCCCAGAGGGACCCATGGCTGTGAAAGCCCCCCGTCTCCGGGTCAGGTCTGGCCTGGTGCCAGGCCAATGGTGGGGTGGGGGGAGAGGAGGGCTCTGGGACCCCAAGCTGGGTAGGGGTGGAGACAGGATGGGTCCTGCTTCTGTGGGGCCTGAAGCTTATATAATCTGAGGAACTCATGAGTACAGAATTAGGAACAAGGCCTTAGAAGGGGACTGTGCAAGGGAGGGGTCCTGCAGCCTCAGCTCCATTCGTAGTACAGCAAATGTACGTCTGAATGGAAGCCCCCAGCCCCCCTTGACAGCAGGACTGGGAAGGGAGGGGCTACTACCACGGAGAGGTAATCTAGGAAGGCTTCTTGGCTGTGGTGACATCTCACCTGGCCCATAGCAAGCAGGCCTCGGAGAAGTGGGTGCTTGGAAGTGGTCCCGTGGAGGCTGAGCCCCACCCGGGATGCCAGCCTCCGAGGTCTGGAGCGCCAGTTTGAGGGTTCATCCTCATAGCAAGTGGGTGGATGAGCCCTAGAACATTCTGAGGCGTTGTGCACGGTGACCTAGAATAGACGGAGCATG